AGAAATCAGCCGTCTTATCCTTTTCCGACTTCATGAAACGATGCAATTAATGAAATTCCATCGCAGTTTCGGAGCAATCGCTGGTGACAGAAAATTCATTTGGTGATTTTAGTTGTTAACTCCGATGAATACCAATGAAAGATTTCTGCGAATTCCAGTATTTTAGGTTTCTCTTTCTTTAAAGTCCAATTGGAATTCAGCGAGGCAGCATTGCAATATTAGATTAAATCATTTCGATTCCAATATTGACTATTCAATCTACATAGAATTTGAGGGGAGTGAATAAGATGTTTCGAATATAAACACGGAAATCTAAAATTCTATTAGAAATTATGTTAAGAGTACATGAATATTATTTATCATTGCTTATGCGGCATTATGGATTCGATTCCAACTGAAGTGTAATTTTCTATTTTTATTGTATTTCCCATTCAGTCTTGTAAAGGTTGAAATAAGTGGTGCCGTAGTTGTATGTATTTGAAAAGAAATTATTTGTCATTTTACTTATACTTCTTTGAAAGAAGGGTAATCAATCAAAATCATGTCTTATCTTAAAGTTACACATTTTTGAGTTATTTGAATTTTAAGTTTTTTATTTTTTATTCCGATTTCAGACGGTTAAAATTGAAATACAAAAAAACTGCATGCTTGATTTTGAGTTTTTTGTTATTGACGCATAGCAGACATTCCAGTAGTTCATAATAAGTAATAAAATGTTGAAAAGCTACAAACGTTTTTAAATTACGCTTTTTAAATGTAACATTTTCTTTTTTTTTGCTAACTTATTCGATAAAAAATGCAATTTTCTGTAAAAAATCTCCTAGTAATGAAATGTGCAAATTATGTAAATAATATCTCTATCTAACAAGCTTTCATTTGAGGTATTAAGCGTTAAATTATCTGAAGTACATGCAGAGAAACAACAATGACACCAACACAGGCTGGATTTTAAGGAATTTGTATTACCTCTTTGAACAAGTCGTTACTGTCCTCAAAGGACTCGCATGCCATGATTGTTTTATGGCATCGGCTCGATGAGGAAACGAGCGAGAAGAGCTGACTTAGTGGAGGAGTGAGAGAAAGAGAGAGAGAGCTGTTATTATTCATCATTGTAGTTACGCCATCGCCGCACGCCGAGTGAGAATTAGGTTTAGTTGGTATCAACTACTGCGTACGCGCACACGTTTGACGCACGATTATTATTTTCGAGTTTCCCAGTTCATTTCGAGTGGTTTCTTTATCATCATGGCAGACGCAGAAGATCCGCCAGGACCTCGGCATAGCGAGCACGGGCAAACTTTTACAAATGAAGAATACGCAAACATAATGTTCTGTTATAGACTTTGTAACGGCGATTCTGCAGCTGCCCGCCGTAAATATCGGCAACGTTTTCCGAATCGCCGAACACCTCATGTTACTGTGTTTGACTCTGTGTATCGGCGTATCCGCCAAACCGGACGTGTTCAAAGGCAACATAGTGATGCTGGTCGACCCCGAGTCTATCCTCCTGAAGATGAAGAGGAAATCCTTCGTGTGTTTCAGGAAGACCCTACTACGTCTACGCGCATTGTGGCTGCTCAGTTGGGTATATCACAATACAAAGTATAGTTTACTGTGCATACTGCAAGATTATACCCTTATCACTACACGCCTGTACATGTGATTGAAGAGGGCGATCCTGCAAGACGATTAGATTTCTGCAGGTACATGTTATATGTAGATACAGAAGATCCAGACTATTTTAAGAAAATTCTGTGGATCGATGAATCGAAGTTTGATAAGGACGGGATCACTAACTACCATAATGCTCATTACTGGGCTGATTAAGAAGCTTTAAACCCCCGAAAAATAAGAGCGACGGGGTCTCATAGCCGGTTTTCAGTCAATGTGTGGATGTGCATCATTGAAGGATATTTAATTGGACTCATTTTCTGCCCGCCAATTTAAATGGAGAAGTGTATGAAGAGTTCTTGAAAAATCACTTGTTTCCATTAATGGAAGACGTCCCATTGGCGACGAGACAAAATATGCGGTTCCAGCACGACGGCTGTTCCGCACACTACAGTAGATTAGTACGAGCTTATTTAGACTCTAAATTTCCAAATCAATGGATTGGCAGAGCCGGGCCCATTGCCTGGCCAGCAAGAAGCCCAGATCTCACACCGATGGATTACTATGTGTGGGGACATATGAAAAGCCTGGTGTACGATGTTTCGCCCGTACCAACGCGCGATGAATTAATTACAAGGATAATCAGTGCAGCTTACCAAATAAGAAGCCACTTAACAACTAGAGTTACCAAAAGTGAATTACGTATGAGAATGCGGGCGTGTATTCGTAACAGAAGATTACAATTTGAGCAGAATCTGTAAAATACTAAAGGAAATGCAATTAAATAAAACTGTAGAATTAAAATAAAAGCCTTTTATTTATCCTACGTAATTATCATTCGTACAACTTTACTCATCTTTTGTTAATTTTATGTCTTTGTACTTGAGTTAGTTGTAACTTTTATACCTCAAATGAAAGCTTGTTAGATAGAGATATTATTTACATAATTTGCACATTTCATTACTAGGAGATTTTTTACAGAAAATTGCATTTTTTATCGAATAAGTTAGTAAACAAATAAGAAAATCATACATTTCAAAAGCGTAATTTTAAAACTTTTGTAAGTTTTTAACATTTTATTACTTATTATGAACTATTGGAATGTCCGCTATGCGACGATAACAAAAAACTCAAAATCAAACATGTAGTTTTTATGTATTTCAAATTTAACCGTCTGAAATCGGAATAAAAAATAAAATTCAAATAACTCAAAAACGGTTTACTTCTGGATAGGACATTATAGGACAAAATTGGTTGCTTTTGACCTAATCTATCAGCCCTTAACAGGAATACGTGACATTACAAGTCACCCTGTGTTCTCCTTAGACATTTTTTAGCAAAGTTTCCCTTGCATCAGAAGACAGGTACCTTGTCATTGGAACATATGTGTCATTCGGAGGAAATAGACACCTACCACAAACGCAACAAATAACCCGTTTTTGAAAACCTCATGAATGCACCCTTTTCACATATCCGTCATGCCTCGCAAATGCAAAGGAGTTCAGGATCCAGAAATCAGATTTCAGTAGCCCTTTTTCCAGTCCATCAGCTGCCAAATCCGGGCGAGAGTTCAATTTTTGCTAGCCAATACAATAAAATATTGTTTCCTATAGCCAAGCCATCCATTTCAGGTTGCGACATTGAACACATCGCAGCCAGCTACAATGTTTCTTAGATTCTTGTAAGCAAGTGTTAACACATTCAGTGATTTGTGTTTCAGAAGACTTGGTAATATCATTGAGTGGGTTTAGCTGAACGTTAAATACCACGTTCGATTCATATTTTACGGAATATCGAAGTCAATACTTACCTGATATTTGACGTAACCCCAATTGATAACAGGTCCAGTAGGATTCTAATAAATATTATTTCTATGTGTAGAAAAGTCCAGAATCATTATATCTACATAAACCAAAATGAAACTTTTGCATAATTTTCAATGGTTTCATCTAACTGACTTCATTATACACATTATTCTCCAATTTGCAACGCTAATTTTAATTAATAACCAATTTCCAATTCTACTTCGCCAATTATTCTCACCTTACGTCAGTCGTTCGTAAATTGGAAAAGTTTCATGCACTTATCGTAAAACTTTAAGCGACAGTCTTAGCTTAGATCTACCTATCTCTAATAGCATCTTCGAGCAAATTTACGCGAATGCCTTCCCAGCGAATTGAATAACGTTCTCAATCTGTTGAAGAGATACCTCAACTATTTTGCAATGAAAAAAGGATCTGCGAATCCATCAAGCTCTAAAAGCTTTTGTGTTTCTTTTAGTCTAAATTATTGAGGAGGCCAACGAACTGGGACTATTGATGCAAGAAACTGCGGAGGGCCGCTTATTGTCACGGATTACAGACCAGGGATTGAAGAATTTGTTCTGCTTTCCAAAGTGATACCAATTGTTACCCTCGTGCTAGGGGGGTGGTTGTAGATGCGCTTCCCTGCACGATGAATGTTACTTCTGGGGTTCGAAGTGGTTGTTGATTTGGAGGATTAGGGCGCTGGGGGAAATGAAAAGATTGCCAATTTCCAGAGCTTGCCCAAAATCTATTTAACTATTTTTAATAAATCACCTGAAGGGTGCTATTACAAAGTTTGCAACAAACTACCTGAAGGGTGCTATGGCAAGGTTTGCAACAAACTACCTGAAGGGTGCTATGACAGGATTTTCAAGTATTCAAAATGATCACAGTAAGCTCAAAACTTCACTTTGCAATGGTTAATCGATCACCTAACAACAAATGAAAACGAACATTAGTGACTTACCAAGTTTCCGGGGTATGCATACCTCAGGATCACACCAGCTCTGAAGTTAGGATAAATAATTCATATTAAGTGAAATTAGCTGCTTAAGTATATAGATGCAGTTCTACGGAGTACAGGGTGTCTGTGGACATTGGCAACTCTCATTACAGGGCAGGGCGTGGAAAAGTCGTCAGGGCTTCATCTGAAGGTATCAGCAGTAATTTGGTGGAGAAAACGTAAGGTGAAGAAGACGAAAAGTTGGAAGAAGATGAAAAAGTTGGTAGAAGACGAAAAAGGCCTGAGACAAAAATCCAATATGGCGCCGGGTTCCATTTTAACGCAAGCCTAATTGCTTACCTCTGTTGGAGTGTGGCCTAAAAGTGTCGGCTAGAACGCCGTAAAAGCGTCGAAGACTCCCGTCTCCCACATCCCCGTAGGATTATATGAGACATTAGTGCGAAAGATGGCGGATGACGTACATGTACATATGTGAGCGTTGCTCCGATAATTTTATCGTGAATAGTAAGTTAGTGTACTGCAAAAAATGCAAAAAGAGTTATCATAGTTAGTGCGTGTCAGTGAAGGACGATGCCCTGAAAATTTTGTCTAAATCTAATAATTTTGCTTGGTTTTGTGATATGTGTAAAAACGCAGAATATGGAGCGATTTGTGTTGACGACAATGGTGGACAAGCTGAGAAAAACAAGCTAAAAAGTGAATGTCTAAAACAAAAGGAAATTGAATGTCTACAACGCGAAAAATGCATACTTGAAAAATTGGTAACGGAATTAGAGAATGCATCACAGTTGCAGAAATTTAAAATTGATGTGTACGAAAAGGAGCTGAATACGACAAAAACGTTATCGAGTAATAGTGGAATGCTGCAAAAAACTGCTTCAGCAGAATCGTACAGCCAAGTGTTAAAAAAGCCATTGTATACCAACAATGACTCATCTGTGTTGCTGGTAAAATCTTCTGAAAGAAATTCTGAGGATATTTTCAAAAGAATGGCTCAAGTAGTAAACCCTGCCAATTTGGAAGTCTATATAAATAGTACAAGGAAGATAAAGAATGGTGTTGCCGTCATTTGCAACAAAAAATCAAATTTGGACAAATTCAAAAACGTTCTACAAACCCAGTTAGGAGACGAATACGTTGTCGATGAGGCAAAAAAACATAAACCACGCATTCGTGTGAAGAATGTTGAAATAGCAGAGGATCTAAACAGTGACGATCAAATAATAGGTAGCCTATTTTGTCAAAACAACTTGGATACCTTCAATTCTTCGGATATAAAAGTGATCACTAAATTAAAAATGCGGAATGGCTGTGACCTCATCTTAGAGGTTTCTCCGGAGGTCCGGAAAAAAGTAATGGTGCAAGAATACGTCTATATCGGTTGGAAGAGATGTGCAGTTACCGATCATCTTCAAATTGTGCAATGCTATAAGTGCTCAGTGTTTGGTCATACTGATAAGCAGTGCAGATCTGCATCTGCTAGGTGCCCTTCTTGTTCCAGTGGACCATTCAGCAAGGGATATGACTTGCCCTATGTACTTAAAGTACATCTCTAAATTAAAAAGTAGGATCGATGTATTTGCCCTCACTGAAACATGGCTCACTGAGATGGTTCCTTCAGATACTTTGTCTATAGATGGTTATACATTTCATAGGAAGGATAGAGACAGTAGGGGTGGCGGAATAGGTGTGTATATAAATGATAATATAAAGTGTGAACATATTTCTATAACTGATTATATTGGAGATGATCCATCAGTAATTGAACAACTTTGGTTGAAACTTCAATTCAAGTCGTCCTCAGTTGCCTTGTTTGTTGTACAGACCTCCTAAGGATAATCTCAATTCTGCAGTTGAAACTCTGGATACACTTTTATCGCATTTGTCTACTGTTTACGACCATATTATCATATTGGGTGATGTAAATGTCAATTTGCTAAATCTAAGTAACAATATATCCCTTTGCTTCGACTCATATTCTTTTAAACAATTGATTGACGAGCCTACAAGAATTTGTTCTTCTTCTATTACATTACCAGATCCTATTTTTGTAAATTTTCCTGAACAGTGTCATAATATTGGTACACTAAATGTAGATGTCTTCACCGATCATAGGTTGGTTTACTGTGAAGCATCTTTTGATAAACATCAGACCCCACAAAAAATTGTCACTTACCGTGATTTCAAAAATTTTGATCATGACAACTTTATGGCCGACTTACTAAGTATAAACTGGAATGATATTTGTATTCGAGACATTGATGCAAAGGGGAATTTCTAAATGATCTTATAATTTCTTTGTTTGATATACATGCACCGTTGCGTACAGCGAGGGTAAGCAAGCCCTTTGCTCCATGGTTAACGCAAAACTTAAGAGCTATTTTCAAGCAGAGGGATGCAGCTTTAATAAAATACAAACACAATAGGACAACTCAGAACTGGACAGAATACACAGAACTGAGAAATTATGCTCTTGCATCACAGCGTAGAGAAAAGGCTGGTTATCTTCAGCACTTAGAAGAAACTAATAATTCATCTTCTTTATATAAGGGTATAAGGAATTTGAACATCCAGACTAAGAAGCGTAACCACATACCTGTTAGTTTACGTAACGCAACGCAGATAAATGATTATTTTTTATCTGTTTTTGAAGATAATACTCAGCACTGTACTAGTGAAATAGAATTTTATGATAATAACATACTTGATGAATCGCTCAAATTTGATCTGGTCATGACCACTGAGGAAGATATACGTTCGCATTTATTTAAAATAAAATCTAATGCCTGTGGGCAGGATGGTATTACGCCTTATATGATAAAACTGTGTCTTCCTGTGATTGGCAAATATTTAACGCATTTGATTAATTCTTGTTTGGAACTTCACTATTTTCCCTCTGCATGGAAGCAAGCAGTAATTGTTCCCTTGGCAAAAACTAATAACCCTTCAGCTTATTCCGACCTGCGCCCAATAAGTTTACTTCCGATTCTATCAAAAATATTAGAAAGGATAGTACACGATCAATTGAAAGAGTACTGCTCTGAGAATAACATAATTCCAAAAAACCAGTCTGGCTTCAAAGTAGGGAATAGCACCACCACTGCCCTGCTTAAGGTGACTGATGATATTGATGAGGCTTTGGATCGGGGTCAAGCAGCGGCTCTTGTACTGCTTGGCTTCTCCAAGGCTTTTGACACTATCAATCATTGACTTTTGATCTCAAAATGCAAATATATTGGATTTTCTCAAGCATCTATCAAGTTCATTACTAGTTATCTCATGAATCGTATGCAAAGGGTACATTTGGACAACTCATATTCAACATATAAGAATGTAATATCAGGGGTCCCTCAAGGCTCTGTTTTAGGACCGCTATTGTTCTCCATTTACATATCAGACATGTGTAAACTGATACGCTCCTCTGTAGTGATGATTTTTGCGGATGATACACAAATATGTAAAACTTTTGATCCAGATGACTGTGTAGCAGCTGTTGACGAGTTGAATTGTGACTTAGCCACTATTGTTAGTTTTTCCAAGCATAGCTCCTTAACGATAAATGCCTCTAAATCTAAAGCTGTTCTCTTTGCACCAAAAAACAATCATTAATATCAGAATTAACACGACAGTACGGATTAATGACACTTCTTTAGTTTATGAGGATCTTGCAAAAAATTTGGGTGTCTTACTTGACAAGGATTTACGTTTTCGTGAGCATATATCTAAATTAGTAAGAAACTGCTTTGTTGTACTAAAAACATTGTTTGTTAATAGGCATTTCATCAATTTCAAATTGAAAAAACATCTTTGTGAAAGCCTAGTTCTCTCAAAAATCAACTACTGCCTTATAGTTTTCTATCCTTACTTAGATCAAGTCTCAGTTCGCAGACTTCAACTGATTCAAAATTCGTGCTGTCGCCTCATCTACGGTTTAAGAAAATATGACCATGTTTCACACTGTATTCGTAGTTTAAAATGGTTAGATGTTTCTAGCTCTTACGAGTATCTTATCTTGAAGTTCATTCATAATTTGATTATCACGGGAACTCCCGAATACCTCTTCAAAAAAATTGTTTTCAGGCAATCTGTTAGAGATCGCATGCTCAGGTATGGCAAATTATTAGATATTCCACGGCACCGTACGACTTTATTTACTCGCTCTTTTAGGTATAATTGTGTCAAACTGTATAACGTGCTACCTGATGCATTCAAAAATGTATCTCAAACTAAATTTAAAGTTTGTGTCAAGCAGCATTTGCTATCAAAAATGACTCGTAGTAGTTTCTAGTTTAGATTAGTAACCGCCAGAAAAATTTTATTTGACGTGTTGCTGAATCTGTTTATATTTTCTATATTGTGTCTTACAATATTTTTGTTTTCCTTTGGTTAGCCACTGTATATAATATATACATGTTAATTACATGTATGTACATTGGTTCACAACCATGCAAATAATAGGGTTAAGTGGAAGAGTAGCTATTTAGCTGAACTTCGCCCGATACTATGCAAATTTATAAACAAAGACGATTTATTATTATTATTATTATAAAAAGGAAGAACGCTTAGACTTTATTTGGCGTAAAGATCCGCAAAATGCGTGCTTTTCAACAGAGCTATGACCAAAAAGTCAAGTTTCTTCAACTTGGACACGGAACACAAAGTTCGAGAGGAGCAATGGAGCAATGGAACAACAGCGGACTGTTCCCGGACTGAAAGGACCGATCACTTGTCAAAATGTAACATTGAGGTTAGGAAAGAAACGAAGACGTAAACAATTCTCAGATGAAGGGGGGCCTCAACTACAAAATGATATAATAGGTGGAGAGTTACGTATAAACCATAGAGAAAATCTTCAGGTAGTTAAACTAGAAATATGTCTAACCTTGTTTAGTGTTTACGATTATTGCAGGGTCACGGCAGTTCCTACAAGGTTTGGACAAAGTTTAGGGCTGATCCCACGGACCACGATAGCACCTAGGACTTAAGATTGTGAATCTAGTCTTGGTAACCGCTCACGGTGTACAATTTTCAGCTAATAAATCTTGAATTCTGAGGTAAGAGTATGATTTCAAATTAAACCCGTAACACAATGACGTCAAATGCATATTTCTACGACACTTTAGCATTCTTATCCGAAATGAGCATCCCAAATCACCCCAGTGGAGAGAGTAGGTCGATTGATTGCTTTGGCAATCCCAAGTTTTCCTAGAGTACCATGTTAGAAAATGGAAATTTTGCCTTTATAAAACTTAAACTTCATCCTGAAAGATGGTGACGCACTCAACTGTAGAGCTATAAGCATTTTAAACAATTTTGCAAAGGCTTCAAAAATGACCATTTACTATTTCATCTTTGATGACTTTGAAAACTTAATTCCACCATCACAGCATGGCTTCATGAAAAGTTGTCCAATTTAATGACAATCACGCAATAAATAGCAGAATCGATAAACAATAAACTACAAGTTGATGTTATTTACATGGACTTTAGCAAGCTTTTCAGTAACATCTTTGTGAATAGCATTCATTACTTTAGCCTTAGTGACTCGTTAGTTTTATTAGTGTTTATTATGGTGGTTATTGTTCAGCGAAATATACGTCCCTTCTGGTGTGCCGCAGGGATGGAACCTAAGCCCCTTGCTGTTTTTATTCTTCATAAATAACCTTGCCACTTCACTAATGTCTCACACTCTACTATTCGCCGATGATATCAAAATCTTCGCTAAAATTACAATTTTAGATAATTGAATGCCGTTTAAGGGGATCTTGGTACTGTCACACAGTGGTGCAACAATAACTTTCTATTCATGAACATTTCCAAGTGTGAAGATTGTTCATATAGTCGCAAAATCTTTGATTAATACCATAAATAATTCGGTTTTGGAGAGAACAACAGAGACTAAAGATCTTCGTCTTACATTTTCCTAGAGGTTGGACTTTCCTGTTCATATGTTTGTGATGTGCTACTCCAAATACAATGAAAGGTTGAAATGGCTAAACGGTTCTTTGACGTATTTTTGATGAACCATTGTTTTATGCACAAAGTTGATCTGTGGATGACCGTTCCGATTATCTTTCAGTTCCGACTTTGTTGTCATCGTTCTGTTTATGAGTTTCTTATACCTTTAGTAAGCAGCGGTGGCGTAGTAGTAAACGTTATGGATCTCCTCATCAACCGCCGTGCGCTGCGTGGGTTCGTGTGGGGCCCCCTCCTCCCTTTCCCCTGTATCCCCCTATAGCCAACATGGGTGTTTAGGCCTTCTAAGTGGTTGGAGTATAAAAAAATATGAAGTACGCGTCACTTCAGAAGCTTTAGCACGACCGAGTGGATGCACCAGAACTACTCCAGAGGTAGAATTTTTGTATACCTACCGTGTTTAAATTCCAAAGAGACTTTCTTCTACAATCTCCCGTACCAACGTATTATTTTATTCGCGCTAAATTCTATATATGCAATAATTATAATTCCATAGCAGACAGTTTTAATTTATAAAACCTTACGTATCTGCCAACCCTGGGAAGGTAAATCCTGGCAAATAGGTCTCTTTTGACCATTT